CTGAAAGAATCAACCTTCTGATCTGGCGTCAGAATAACTACGGCTTCTGTCGTGGGGAGTGGTATCGGTATCAGCATATTTCACTTTAAGTATACTTGAGGGAGGTATAGGTATTGAATCCCCTTTTTGTACATGCGTTTTGGGTTGGTCCGACGGGGAGGGGGAGTTTTTAAAAGGAAACACTTTCGCTCTTGGGGAAGGGGTCCAACGGGGAGGAAGCATAACAGAGGTCACCGGGATCATCACTGAGCTGCGGAAGATGCAACCAAATACTCCCTTGTTGATTTCAGAGTCCGCCGACAAGCTTCCGAAAACAGAAATAACCGCCAAGATCGTCAAGAGTACGCTGCGGGTCGAACGAAGGGACAAAGTCTATGGGGCCGCAAGCTTCAGTTGATGCGATCGTTCACGGGGTAAGTAGAGAAATCCGCGGCGCCCTTCGCATGGGAATTTTGGTGAGAGAGCGTAGCCATTGGTTTTCCATAAATAAAAATAGTCTATAGGTAGATTTTACTAGATCGTAGGAAGTAGTATTATATTGTGACGATTTTCGCTGGCGGTCTGAGTGCACTAGTTCGGTGAACACTTCCTGCGTGACTGAGAGCAGGAGCATAAACAGCGCTACTGGCGCTACTTAATGAATTTATTTCCTTTTTAGCCGAGTAGAAGATGTGGGTGGCGACGGAACTCGAGGAAAACCAAAATGACCCACGCATACACAGTTTCCTCAGTCGAGCACAAGCAAAAACCGCGATGTCCAAGCTGGTAACTGACCAAGGTCGACAAGGGTGACAACCGGAGTGCCCATCATATTAATCTCTGGAACTGGGGCAAGAATGCAGAGCCCTTCCAGTGGATCGCAGCTAGCGAACAACCTACTTCCAACAGCTCAAATGTAAAAATACACAAAGACATGCAACTATGCTGAAAATATCTCAAATTCCTTCTACAAATTTGTGACCCCAACGTGATCAAATTGCAACCTCCTGATGTGCCTTAGACTGCTATTGGCCAAGCAGTTGAGCAGGCGGCCAGTGACCCATTCTTGCAGGATGTTTACGCATTCACGCCCACACCACGCTCACAAACAGACGCGCGCACAGGGCTCGGGGCCTGGCGTGTCAGGGCTTCAGACCACCACTGATTTCCTGAGCACAGTAAGCAACTCCTACTGGCCTTACCCCACTTCGTCCTGTACGAAACTGCACGTAATGATTGTAGTGCTCTGAGCAGGCTCAGCCTAGACTTCTACAGGCACACAAGTAGATCCTAATGGGATAAAATTCGACTGCCAGTCGTTGTCTCGCGTCTAAATTAGTTTTAACTTTGGCTGTACTCAAACCCCACTTCTGCTGTCGTCGGTTCTAACCCCAACGCGATCGTCCAGGGTGTTACAATTCCGTGTAATTTATTATTAAAATCCGCCAGTACACCTGATAAACAGTCGATCGAAGCCTAATTGACGTCTTTGAAAATCCCAGCCAGTGTATTGTATCAGAATTGATTGATCGAGTACGCTGCAATAGGTTAGGCAGGTAAATTGACCCAAATTACCTGTGAAATATTTATCACTTAAAAGCACATGAATCACCGGCTCTCTTCATTTGGAGTGCTGTAAC